TTGAATGACTGATGGTTTGCTCTTCTTCAAACCGATGAAAAAAATTGTATTCCCCATAGAGAAGATATCAAAAGTATAATTATCGAGGAATGTCATGATACTGAGGGTCACTTCGGGCTTAAGAAGACGTATGCTAAGGTAAGAGAATCTTTTGAATGAAAAGGAATAAAAGAGGAAGCTAACCTATGTGCGAACTTATCTTGTTCGCCAAAGGAAGAAGCCCTCTAATGAGAATCCCTTGGGACTACTACAACCACTACCTATTCCAAGTGAACCAGGTGAGTCCATCTCGATTGATTTCATAAGTCTCACCAAGAGTCGAAATGGGAATGGCCAGGTAATGGTCATTGTCGACAAATTCTCGAAATATGCAATATTCATTCCTTTACCACGAGAAGCTAGAACGAAAATCGTCCTCCAGAAGTTCCGGATGTGACGGGTTTCCGAGTATGGATTTCCAAAAACCATCATCTCTGATAGGAATGTATGGTTCACTGGCCTACAATTGCAAAAGCTAATGGAAGTCTATGGCACAAGACTGACCATGTTTTCAGGTAGACACCCTGAAACGAATGGATAAACTAAGCAAATGAACAGATTGTGCCAACAACTTCTGCGAATGTATGTGAGGCCTAATCAAATTGACTGGGATGAGAACTTACCAAAGATTGCAAGTGCCTACAACAATGGTGTTCACATTGTTACTGGTAGAACACCTAACGCACTACACAAACGTTGGAAGCCTAGACGTCCCATTGATGCGTTGACTACGGAACAAGTCCAATGACTACCCCTGGGAACCACAAAATTTGCAATTTGTAGGAACAAGACATAACCAAAGTAAAGGAGAATATACAGAAAGCCCAACTGCAGATGATCGACCAAGCAGATAAGCATTGTCGACCTTCTCAGTTTATAAAGGAAATCTCGTCTGGGTAAAGTCTAAAGAATTCTCCCTTGATGAAAATGTGTCTCAGAAATTGCTACCTGCCTACTACGGCCCCTGGGAAGTTCTCAAGGTGATAGGGACACACACGGTCCGTCATATAACCCCTCACCTCAAAACATACCATGTCTTTCATGCTTCCAAACTGATACCTTATATCGAAGGCCACGAGCTTCCCAGTCGGTCATCCGCGATTCCCCCCCTCTATGAACGGAGGTTAGGAAGTTGAAAGAATCTTGGAACATGGATATTTCTCTACATGTGGCAGGGGAAGACCTCATAAGCAGTACAAGGTAAGTTCAAGACTCAACCCATCTCAGAATCAAGATGGTTTGCTAAGAAAGATCTTCTACCCACTACACCCGATATTGTAGCTGCATATGAGCGTGAGTTAAAAGAGAACCAAGCCTAAAGTAATAGTTTTTGCGATGGAACTTGAAACTGGGCCCAATGGAATGCAATAACTCAGCTCGAATCATGCAATAGTCATGAGCCATAGGCCGTCATTTCGGACTAAGGGCCGAATCGGGGGCCAACGACCACACCCGAGTCATGGTAAATGCCTGAAACAAGGCCTGCTGCTGTGGGTACCCGAACCACGGCCTAAAACTGGGCTTCCGAGGCCCTACGTGCGACAGTTGATCGTGGAAAGTCAAAGTTCAACAGCAGCTTGGAAATTCAGGCTCACAAGTCAACATGGACCCAGCCCAGGCCACTTATCAGACACACACACTTGGCTGTTTGCAGGTATCTGTTTAGAATCCAGTCCAAGTGGGAATCTGCAACTGTATGAGATCCAGGCCATCGACTGCGGGTCAATCCGGGCCATTGTATCTGAGAGACCAGAGGCTGGTCAACCAGAGTCAACACTATATGTTGACCCAGCCCTTGCTGACCAACATTCAGTCTTGCACTTGCTGCTCGACGCAAGCTCTACGCTGGCACTACGCCGGCTTCCTATTGGATGACGACGACACGAGACTGCGATTGCTAAAGCCTGGCACCTTCTCTGTCTATGGCGCCAGCTGGATTCTAGACTATGCTGAAGTTGCTTGAGCCACACTGTTGACGACACTGATTGGATATTGGCAAGGAGGAGGAGGATCAGGGCTGTGAGATTGGTTGATCGAAAGGGAAGCTTACCTGCGTGCGTACATGCCAACATTGCGCGCTGCTGTTCGTCTTCAGGAGGTGTCTGCGCTGACAAGCGCTATGATGATACCTGCTCTTTGTCAGATTGTGTCAGAGGAGACTGTCTGCTGATGTGACGAAGGGAGATGCCTGAAGAGGAAGGGGGTTGTTGAGGGAGATCTATCTGCTACGCTCATGATTACTTTCTCTTTCACCTTCCAACTCTAATCTCCCTCCTACCACCCACTTCTCTGGTGACCAGACATTGGGCTACTTGATCATGTGTACAACTATTTTGGAGACATTGAGACTGCGCTGAGACATACTCTTGACATTGACGAGCTTCTCTCCTGACTGGGTTCATTGCAACAACCCCGGCTTAAAATAAAAAAAAAATAAAAAAAAATAAAAAAAGCCCCAAGGTTGGATTTTGCATCAAAATTTGAAAAACCATTTTGCCTCAGGGTCTCAGGCTGTTTCTTTTTTTTTCTTCTTTTTCCCCGGTTGGTTTGGTTGGTGACCTGTCTATGGAGGCTTCGGGGCTTTGTTACGAGTGTCATACGAGAAAATGCCTAAAATTTAGGGCTCGGCTAGCCATCTGTCAGCAGGCTAGCTGAGACACAAAATAAGAAAATGCATAGCTGTGAAACGGTTTTCACCTCTTTGCAGTAGCAGATGCAGATCCCAGGGCTCGATCCCTAGACCTTGCCCTACCTGTGTACAGCACCTGAGTAGACCCCGAGAGTTGAACCTGTGACCTGTGTATTCGTAAACAGTTGGTAGGCTGTCATARGTCCGTAGGTAGGAGGGGTTCGATCTGTAGATCTGTAGAATAGAAGTCTTAGCGAGTTCCAGAAGTCTTAGCTGTAGCCCTTCTAGAAGGTCAGCAAGTGGGCAAGTGGGCAAGTGGTGAGTCAAGTGGTGGACTAACTGCAGTGCCATTGCAGTACAACCTCGGTAGGTTAGCAGTGAGTCCCCATTCAGTCAGCGGTAAGGTCCAGTCAGTCCCAGTCCAGTCCAGCAAGTACCACAAGGGACTGTGAGCACCATGGGCCGATGGGAAAGGGCAGACCAACGAGTTTCAGAAGTATAAATCAAGAGGCAGCGCCCAGCCATTCACTCATTTCCTGCGTGAGCCATGCGGAAGCGCTGCCACAGCGACTTGTGCAAGGAGGTCTGCAGTGACGCCCGAAGCTGAAGTGGGCGAGAGGGAAGGAGCGTAGCATAGCGATAGGGTAGTTGGGGCAATAGCCGCCATAGCTAGAGTTAGTGTATAGTGTGTGTGTGTGTGTGTGAGTGCTGAGTAACGCGTGTGGGATATCCAGGGTGATCCGGTGTATGTGAACAGTGGGTTGTTTGGGCGCTGAGTCGCCATAGCCAGTTGAAAGTGAACTCGTATCTGGATGCCATCTCTCCAAGTTTTGAGTGGGCGCATGTCGCCAGTTTGCTGCGCTACTGTTTACATGCATGAAAAGTGTGAATGAAAGGAGTCTGATTGCATTGGTATCGGAGCTGGTACCCGCTATCCCACGCGTCGAGTTGTGTGTCGCAGGAGTGATGCGCCATAGCAGAGGTGGCCGCCGAGAGTCATAGTTCGCCATAGCGAACCTGAAGGTTGGAGAAGCTGCCGCGCACCTGCAGAGAAGACCACAACGAAGAAGAAGGCCGAGAGCGAGCGAG